GTGCTAGACTTTCCTAGGTTATATACTGAAAAATTCACGTCAAGTTATACTCGTGATCAAACAAAAATATTTTTGGAGTAAATTAACAAAAACACTGAACATTATTATTTTTTTGGAGATCATTAAGATCGACCAGTTCCATTTTCAAATATTAATGAGACTCAACTCAACAGAATGCAGCTGCTTTTAATAATATTCCCGAGTAATATAAACCCAACCAAATACAGATAGGAAAGGTTATTATAAACAATAATACTTGAAAGTAATTATATGGTTTTCCTGAATACATTTCGAAGAAATATCCAAAATAATTTGAGTTTCAATCTAATTATTATATTTTTATGTTGTTTCAAAATACAAGTTTTCTATCAATCTTATTGCTTTCTGGAAGTATTGCATAAAAGGCGACAATAGTCACAAAATGTGTGGATAAGTCGGTTCTTGGTCGCTTCCTCTTTTAAAAATCTTATACAGCTGGAATTATATTACTAGATATTACTAGATATAAACTAGATAGGATTAGATTTCAAATAGATGTTTCCATCAATATGCTATTTCTTTGCTACAGCTGAATTCATTCGAAACCAGAAGTTTCATTTCTACTTTAGTTTTTCATTACTTGATTTTCCTCAAAGGCCATGTGACACATTCGCTAGTTCCAAAAATAATAAAAAATAATTTTTTTCACATATTACGAAATTTTAATTTTTTTTTCAATCTTGAATATCGTGTTTCTAACTTGATAATCATTTTACAGCAACAGCTGCAATCGCATTCAGCTCATGCTACACCGCAGACTCATCCGCATAGTTTTCCAAGAGATAGGGAGCCTCTGAGGGAAATAACTCCTACTGTAACTGCAAATATAAACAACATTAATATTAATCCTGGAACTCGTGACTCAACCGAAACCCCTCTGAGCTTCGAACAAGGTGTAGCTCTGGGGAGAGGAGGAAGAATTTTACCAAGCCCCGTACCAAACGGGTGAGTTGGTTATATTCGGAATATACTCAGATCTATTCCTTTTCCAAATCATATATTATAATTACTTTGTTTTATGAAAAACTCAATTTGTTACGTGTTCGACTTGAACAGAAAAATTGTTCGTAGTTTTGATTTTTTATTTCACTACATATAAGTATAATGTTCATAGAAGTCAATTCGAATGGCATAACAAGTAAATAGTTACCGAACGTCGGCAGTGGTGTAATACTCTAATGCACCAATCTTCATTTTTATGTGGGGTTTTTTATATGGTATTAACTAGTAAATTTGTCAGTCCCGGTACGTTAGTCTTTTATTTAGCTGTTCTGATTGACTTCCTATAGACTATACTGTTCAATTTTGATTTTCACATTTTTCGATTTTCCCATAGTGTTCCTATGGACATATTCCACACATAAAAATATATTTGGTTTCTATTCTCAAAACTAACCTTACTCAATTTATTGCAGATTCAAGCCTAGACCAAGTGGATCAAGGCATTCTGATTCAGATGATGATGACTGGTGCTAGCATTGGCTTAATACTCTTCACAAGAGTATTGCTTTCCTGTAAATATATTTCGTGTTTCAATGTAAATACCACTGTAAAAACGTTACTAGGATTTACGTTTGGGTCACATTATTATAATGCATTTTTGTAAATAAACTTGAAATAATCAATATCCTGTTTCATTTCGAAATAGTGAAAAAAATCACTCAGTTACAAAAATATAAAAATCTGTATAAAATCTGTTTTTTCGTTAACCAGCTGTCGCACTCCTACGAACGACAACTCTCATAAGTCGAAACTTGTGCGAGCTAAGGACTAAGGAGATCTTACCTTTCAACGTGTGATTCCTAACACGGGTTGGACGATAGCAAGTGAAAATCGATCGTTGAAACACCGACCAACACGGCGGTCGATTTGAATGAGTGAACAAAGCACCCACGTCGATCCGACCAGCTACCGACCGAAAGTAACGCTTATTGTTTTATATTCATTTTGTCACAACCACAATTATGATCACGAAGTGAAGTTTTGTTTAAATGAATATTCTGGAACATATTGCGAAGAACCAATTGATGTGTTGAAGCAAAGATGCAATTTCAGTGATCACATTTTCAACTGCTTGTGTTCTATAAAAACTGATTGTTTGTTGCTAGAGATTTCCAATGACAAGACGGTGTGCTGTAGGCACCGTCAATAATATGAGTCTGTATTTCATATGTTCGACCGCTCGCATTTTGTAATTTCAGTTGTAAGTTCAGTAATAAGTTGACCTTTGAAACTAATAACTGAAGGATGTAGGAGTTTGCATCCCGAATCGTCCGTTCAAGTTTGTACAAGGATGATCCAATACATGGGGTCTTCTTCAGCAACATTGAAATCTTCGTTTCATAAAAACACCTTCGCTTTTCTCAGTTCGAGTAAGCTGAGGTCGGAAACTGAAGAGTTCACATGTCAAGATACACATTGTTTTCAAAGCTTTATTTTATTGTAGTCGCATGTTGGATGTAGAGGTGCTTGACAACAGTTGTAGGGCATGTAGCGAGGTATCTGAGATTTCACAACACTTGCTGTCGGCATATCCAGCATATGCATACTCAACTAATATAACGCAGACCTAAGAATGTTTCATTACTACCTGAGGCACTTTTACGGTGAGAGAACGGTGCTATGAGTCCCATTACTCAGCCACAGGCTGGGTAATGAATGACACCAGTGGAGTCAATACACGCAGGGCACTGTACCAAATTAGGACTCTGAAGCCACAAGAACTGGAAAATTAACACCGCCGTGTACACAGCCGTTCAATCACTTTCCATGTAGGAAGAAAGGAATTCCGACCTGACGGTTGGGAAGATTGAACGGCGGGTACACAAGATGAAGGCTGAGATCAATTTGGCGAGGCAACATGAGCTTCGTTTATAATGTGTGATGGATAATAGAGCGGTCAACAGGCCTTTCACGCCCGCAGTGCGGCAAATAATCGCCAAAATGAGACGTATTCATCACACTTTGAGTCAAGGTTTTCTGCTAACCAGCAAACAGCTCTGGTGACCGCTGAAATGTCACTGGTGAGGCGAGCCGAAAGTAACACGGAAATATTAAATTCCGCGAAAAACCTTCTCGCTCATTCCATACCAATGAACGGCACCTTTTGATAACTCCGGATGGCATTCCACTTATTGGTGGAAAAAATTATCAAACACTCACTGTCAACTCATGGCAGCGTATTCCAAATTGGTTTGTGGAGGGGCGGACCATTCTCATTCCTTAACCCAGATAGTTGTCGATTTCTAAGAAAAACAAACCAATAACATTATCAAGTTCGTATGATGAGTTGTTTACAAGTATATTATACAGATGAATACTCACCGCAGTTAACCGAGTATTTGAACGGATATATGGCCGGGATAGATTGTCGCAAGGCATTGATACAACATCGCAAGAGCTCATCTTGCATTTGCTCAGATACCTTGAGGTACCCGACAAATTTCCCTTTCTTTTATGCATCTTACTATTCTCATTATTAGTTGTGCTCAAAATATTAAAAGTTATACCAGTGGCAACCCCGGAAATCAAAGGTATAAAGATCACTCATATTTGTTCAATACGGGTGATCTTGAACTTCTTGCCTCCAGAAAAAACGACCTCCATCAGTCCTCAAAGGTAGTGACAGAGTTCACGCATGCTATCGAAATGAAATTAGGGATGGACGAATGTGCTACGGTCCATCTGAAAAGATCATCTTCATCATCTGGTTGTCAAAGAGAGGCGTATATTTACCTCGGTGTGGAACAACGTAACAGCAGTGAAGAACCCTCTCAGCAGTAAGTATCAGTACAGACTCCGACAGACCTGGTCATCGGAACCGTAGCGAGGAGCCAGAGACCCTATTGCACCTGCTGGTAACATGTCCACTATGTGCGGTCTCAGGCTATATCCATCAAAATTACGCGGTTCTGAAAGTGCTTTATTACCATCTACGTCACTTTTACGGTATTGACAAGACACCGGTGTTGCTCTAAGATCCCGGGGAAAATTAAATATGTTGTGGAAAATGAGAAATGCCGAATGTACTGGAACTATTCATTTTCCACCCTCATACAAGATGGTGGAAAAGAACTACAAGATGTAATTCTTCTCGACCATCAGAGCCTGACAATATTTGTCGTGGGGTTTTCGGCTTCCAGTGAAACGAATATCATACAAAAAGAGGTAGAAAACAGATGAATTATTAAGATTTTCTCTTCAAATACCACAGACTCTAACCAGACCATTCGGTTAAGATGATTGTTCTGATTATTGAAGTTCTTTCTGGAGTGGTGCCTTTTCTACACTCCAATCTGAATATCAGGCTGGCTTGTTGCATCAGGGCACAAATCTTGGCCGAAAAGATGCAGAAGTCTATTATTCTTGGCTCATTATTTCTACTTAGCGCACATGATTTTTGAACCCAATGATCACTCACCCCATGGTGTGGGTAGTATTCATTAGTCAATAATGACGGTATGCTCCACTGAATATGTTGGAGCTTCGGGGATAGGGCCCGACCAACTTATCATTCGTTGGAGAATAGTAGTAATAATAAATCTCACATATTTTTTCCAGGCCACTCTGTTGAGATGGTTGGTCTGATTATTGAAATCTTAGGTGGAATGATACACTCTTTACTCTCAAATTTCAAGGTCATGCCGGCTTGCCGCACTGAGGCAAAAATTTTGACTGGACTAATTCAGAAGGCTCTCATTTTCGTCTCATTGCATTTGTTTAAGAAAGATGATTATCGAACGTTTTGATCACTCACCCCACGGTGTGGGTAGTGGTCATTTTTTTATGATACTGGTGCACCTTCCCGAATGTATCCAGGTTTCGGGGACAGCGCCCGACCAGCGTAACTTTCTGTAAAATATTGATAATCGTATTTATTCATCAATATCAAATAAACTACAGAAAATACTTGTTCACAAATATACAGTACTGCTGACGGAAAAAAGTATCCGTTGAATCTACTCTTCAACTAACTTTTGAGGAAAAGAGTTCGATGCATTATTGAGTTAGAGTTATGTACTAGTATTAAATGAGATGAAAGGATTCTCATTTGATCATTTTACAATAGTGATTGATTTTTATGTTAGTACAAAAAATAAACAACTCCATAAATATATTTATAATCTACAGATATTTCGACAACAATAAAACATTACGAATGAGAAACCCTTTCAAATCAATAAGATACATACGAGCGAATTGATTTTCAAAATTTCATTCAGTTCATCAGATATTCAATTCAGATGTTTTGGGAATATGAACGTTATCTAATATTAAAAAATAATAACAATTCCAAACTAAGCCACAATTTCTGAGAATGAGGATACAAAACAAATCTAGTCGATATATTCAATTAGTAAAATATCTATAAATAAAAAAATCATTCAGTTGAATTGATGCAAATCAAAACTGTCAGTTGTTGCTGTGACCTCGTGATATAAAGCTGCGTCCTCACTGAGTCGACAGAGTCGACCCAAATGTTTGTCGATCAGTCGAAATCAACATGTCTGACAAAGATGATGTAATAGTTGCTTGTGTCGCATATTTTATTATCGCGACTAAAAAAAAATTGCACCCACAGAAAGAAGATTTTGGATTCGACCATGCTTTCAAAGTAGAACTAGATACAACGCCAGTAATTTGATAGAAGATTTAAAAAAAGATGACGTCAACATATTGAGCATTGAATACAGGTGTAACGGTGGTTTTAGATTTTTTTTTGGATGTCGGAAGGTGAATTTGAATATTTATTACAAAAAATCGGGCCAAAAATTTGTAAAGAAGACACCAATTGTAGACCTGCCATTCCCATAACGGAGCGTCTTGCTGTAACGTTACGATTTTTATCAACTGAAGATTCGTACCACTCACTAATGTATCTTTTCTAAATTTCAAAGCAGGCAATTTCTAAAATTGTTGTGGAGGTGTGCGATGCCCTTATTGATGTATTACAAGACTATATTGAGGTAAGTACTTAGATGTTCATTAAGATTTACGAGATTCATATGAATATAAAATAATTAAGCAGTAGTTGATTGTGCCGGAGTGGGGGATTGCTAAAAGAAGAGCGTGAGGAATGTGATCCCAGGGACTGTTGCACCGGTAAAATTGTTAGTGAGCGATCAGAATTTGCTCGACTGGGAAAATATTGCTTTTACTGAGAATGATGATAATAGTGTTTTTGATGAGCATGAGAAAAATACTGCTGCTGTGGTTGTTGTGCTACGGGATAATTGTAATTTCCCAATTTTGTTTCAAACAGAAGCGTGCTTATTTTGTGTTGCACCGTAGCTTAAGCATACGTAGTGGACAAATTTCGCTATGTAACAGCCACTTCTTCACCAAATATGGTAAACACACCCTTTTGTCTTTTTGTCGCTAATGTTTGCGTCATTGCCTCGTAGGCTTCATTGACCAATGAGTCATCGCATCTCCTTTTCCTTGATGGTACATGTCCACGAATTGGCGACTTGAACTGTTTTTTTGTAGTTACATTTTCCGTCGCTTTTTCAACATTACTGGCAATCACATGGCTCCTCGTAGAGTTGCGAGTTGCCTTCTTCATTATTTGAAATGACATCTTGAGTATTCTCCTGCTCATCAGCAATATTATCCATATAGTTGGCATCTTCCACTGCATCCACCACCGATGAAATCTGTAATATAAAGATTTTTTGTTTAATTTCTGTTGGTAATGTTACTAGTTTGAACAAAAATAAAATAAAAAAACTTTCTTTATTTGACATGCNAAAATCTTCTTTTTTGGGTGCAATTTTTCTTTTTTTTGTCGCGATAATAATATATGCGGCACAATCAACTATTACATCATCTTCGTCAGACATGTTGATTTCGCCTGATCGACAAACATTTGGGTCGACTCGGTATGGACAGATGCAGTTTTGTCGCTTGTTGATCTAAAATGTCGATCGACAGAGTCGATCGACAGTGTCGACTCAGTGAGGACGCAGCTTAACCCTTGTTCTAGTAGTGAACGCACATATCACTGATGATGTCTTCCGTAGTAACAAACGGAAACGTTTGGTACTTCAGGTTCCATTCGACCACGGCCTGCCAGTCAGGATTTTGTTCCCTCTCTCTAATCATGAATCTGGCCGTAAAAGTAGATGGTTTTGAATGCTCATGAAAACACTTTTGTCTAATTCCCAATAGTTATTCAATTTTCACGTCCGGAAATTAGACAACAGTGATTTCATTCATTTCATTGAGGTGATCATGTATTTCCACAAAATAAACAAGTCATCAATTACGCAAATTAAAAATATTACTTTTATGTGTAGGTATACATTATATATTTGTAGGAGTATCTGAAATTTCATATGATTATGTATTTCACACATTATAAGTTAGTCACTCGTGTTTTTCTCACTACTGATGTGGAAAAAATTTTATATAATGACCAAGTCGTTTCAAGCTCTTTGAAGTGAATATATTTTTGATCTTACTTCGAATGAGGTTTATGTTTATGAAGGAATACAAACCTGGGTGTTTTTCGAAACCAATATACAAGATATCATAAAAAAATTGAAATGAGTTCATGGAAACACCTGTTTAATTTCAAAATCATAATAACATCAGAACAGTCGAACTAACAAATATACCTGTGACCTAAAAAACAAATTTGCTAGTAAATGTATCTATCCAACATTGGACATAATGAAAAACATTTTTCTAATATTCCTGCTTTGACTGGTACTTTGACCTCAGACTGTTGAAATACCATCGAGCATTACTCCGAAACGGGCACATATTTATCCCTAAGTGATAAATATGAACAGGTTCAAAGTCCATCCAACCACAGTATGCAGATTGATTAGATCATCGTAGATTTTACAAAACTACACTCGACACTTCACATACACATCCTAATCAAATCTGAAATACTTGCAATAACTGAGCTACTGTTATGATATAACTACTGCCCAAGGATGCTCTATTCGTCCGTATTGTATATCTGATAAATAGTCTCTCAACTTTTTGTAAAGTGGATTGTTCTGTTCCATGGTGGGGATTTTTATGACCTCTCCCAAATATTCAATGGATGAAACTGGAGTGATGACACATGCCGTACCAGCACCAAAAAATTCCAGGAGCTGAAATTAAAAAACAATACTTTAACGCAACAAAAATATAATATGACTGAGGCGAGTTATTTTGATTCAATTAAACACTTTTTTTTTAACGTACACATTCATAATATATTGTTATAAGGGCACTAATTTTTCAGTTATTTTCATCATTTTGTAAAAATCATTCTCAATACTCCTCTTGCTAATAGTTATTCAATTCAATAAATACATTCGGGAGGGTGCGCCAGCATTATCAACCAACGACCACTCCCGACACCGTAGGGTGAGTGATTATTGTGCCCAGAGTGATCAGTGAGTGCAGTGAGACAAGCTGCATCTGCATCGGTCTGCATCTGTCCAGCTGAGAATTTCTGCCTCAGTGCGGCAAGCCGATTTTGAGATTCGAGAGTAGAGAAGGCAGTATTCCACCATGGAATCCAATAATCAGAACAACAATCCTGACAGAGTGGTCGGGATAGAGTCTGCGGAGTTTTCCCTCTCTTTTCGAATGATATTTGTCTCGCCAGGAGCTGGAAACTCCACGATAAATAACGTCTTGCTCCGGTGGTCGAGAAGGACTGCATCAGGCTTATGAGTTTGTATGAGCCAGATGGCAAGAAACGAATAATTCCAATGAATTCGGCACTTTTCGCTCCCCACAACGGATTCAATATTCCTCGGAGCGTAGGGCAACATCGGTATCTCGTCAACACCGCAAGAGTACCGTATGTGGTAATGAATAACTCTAAGGGCCGCGTTATGTCGATGGATATAGGTTGAGACTATACTCGTATATACTGGACATGCTGACAGCAAGTGCATTAAAGTCTCAGACGTCTCGCAGCAAGCCTGCACCTCGTGTCAGGAACCTCTATGCTCATCACGTGACTGCGGCAGACCAAAGTGTTGAAGACATCATCCTGGCAGGTCATGATGAATCCCTCACTTTTCGACTCCAGCTTTGATAAGCCAAAGCTTTTAATGTTGTCGAAGAAGACCCCATGCATTGGCTTAACCTTGTGCTGCCGCAGAAGTGAACTGATCTCTGCGGTTTTTATGTGGGCCTTTTGCTGAACGGACCAACTCTGTGACAGAGTTGTGATCTCCTCATTCAGTGTCGAAAACTGAATCGAGTTCACCAGTTGCTCGGGTAGCTATCCTAAAGAAAAATGCTTCAATTCCTGCTATCTCATGGTCGCGGACCATGACCATGCAGAAAAGAGGATCCGAACTACTGACGACTTAACAGGCTCCATCCAGTACCATTCAGTCATGTTGACACTCCAAACTCCAAAGTCCACGGCCTCCCTGTTGTCGGGGGAAGTACAACCCTGTAACCGACAATTTGGGATGAAAACTCTTATGTAGGTGCATAATTATTAAGGTTTTGACGTCGAGTCGATACAGCTCCCCTCGAGTCCACTTCACTTCTCCAAACGAGAGAACGGCAAACATATTAGTTGCAGTTCTTTCCCGACAGTTCCGATGACCAGATCTGTCGAAATTTGTTCTGATACTTACCGCGAAGATAGTTCTTCACTGTTGTTATCTCTTGTGAGATAACAACAGTGGCATTGTTTCACTCCGAGGTAAGTATACGTCTTTCCGGCATCCAGATGGCGTAGGATGCTTCCATCTATGAGCTGCACACCCTCTCCGTAGTTCCCGCATCGTCCTCTTCTGAGATGCACCATTGCACATTTGTCTATCCCGAATTTCATACCGATAGCATGCGTGTGCTCTTCCACCACCCTCATGGACTGATGGAGATACTTCTCTCCAGAGGCAAGAAGTTTAAGATCATCCATATAAAACAAATAGGTGACCTTGTGTCTCAAGTTTCCGGAGGTGCCACGGTTGTTCCCTCGAGTATTCCTGAGCGCAATGCAAAAGAGAAGGGAACTGAGGGAATACCCCTGAAATACATCCCCTCTGAAAGTGACCCACCCTGTTTGAGCCCTAGCTTAACCGGATGTTATGGTAAAGCAAGTCCGTCAGAGTGGTATCAGTTGTTCAAGGCATCTCACTATATTGTCGGGTACCGCAAGGCATTTGAGCAAATACAAGATGAGATCATGCATTGTTGCATCAAATGCTTTGCGGTAATCGATCCATGCTATAGAGAGGTCACGCCTATACTGTATTGAGTCCTGCGTTACACATCTATCGATGAGCAGGTTCTCTTCAAATCCAGCGATTTTTCTCTTCGACTTTCTCTGCTCATATATCCGTTCGAACACTCGGTCCATTGCGGTGAGCATTCGTGTATATAAGATGCTCGTAAACAACTCATAACACGAATTTGAGCATGTTATCGGTCTGTAATACTCAGAAATCGACAAATCTCCGCTTTTAGGGATGAGAAAGGTCCGCCCCCCGATAAACCAATCCGGAATCAGCTGCTCTCTGTCCAGCCATGAGTTTAAAACTCTGCCCAGATTCCGGTGGGTGCTTGATAGTATTTTCCACCAATAAGTGTTCCGCCCATTTAGGCCTGGAGCAGCAAAGTTCTTGGAACTCACAAGGGCTCTTCGAACGTCATCCAGGGTTATTGGGTTGTGCCGTTCATTGAGCTAAGGTTGTCAAAGTATACAAAATCCAAGAGGCGGTGTAGCTAAAGTGGAAAAAGTGATTCAAAATAGAATATGTGTTTCGAATTAGTAAGTATAAGAACCTATTCGATTGAAGTTATACGACAAACTTCACAATTGAATTTTTCAAAGTTGTGAAAGTCAATAGTATTGAGCCTATAAAGATTGCGCTAAGATATGTGAATCGACACAAAGGTTGTTTTTTTGAAATGGAATTCAATGAAACAAAAGATTCCGAAACATGATAGTTCATACCGTAATCTCTGGCGTGAATTTATTGAAAACACAGTGTTTTCAACATATTCCAATACGTATTTGGCGAAACGAGTTTTGAAAAGAAAAGGAGGTGGAATCTTGTTGGGATGCTAATGACCAACATTTTCATATAATAACCCTCCATTTCTTCATGTACTACATAAATTGTGTTATTTCATAATTTCATGATTTGTATTACTTTCTTCTTTACTATTACAATTGTTCCTACAGTGCACTGCATATTTATCGCAGTGTAGACAACATAGAACTTATAACTCGAAAGTAGCTGCAAAGTTTATACAGATATTTCGACTTTCGACTGTCAACGTGAAGAAATTCAAGCGGCCTTGTTTTGATCGTCCCCGAGAAATTCAAATTCACAAGTCTAGATCCGTTTTTAAAATCTCCGGTTTGTTTGTACTAGTATATAGTGGTGTGGGTCACCGTGTGCATTGAAGGTGAGCTTCAAATCATGCCTACAGTGCAGTTACTCAAGATTTCAAACATCAAGTAACCTAACAATCAGTTTATTATTGGCGTTCTGATAAGAACTTTCAAGTGTGAAATCCTCAGTACAGGCCGGAGTGTTCAAACATAATTTCCGGGATTTTTGAATATCATCGAAGTGTTGCCTGTCAGCTGCTTAGCTACTGACTGGGGAGTGAACTCCGTATTGATAACTCATCCCCTACACTCACCTGAGTTCCAGCTAGGCAGCCCAGAAAGCACCAGGTCGCCCTACAGGCTTCAAACATTAGTCTACTACAACATGAAGAAAGGAGGAGAACTCAAATCAGCTACACCATCTTCGAATGGGAAGAAATTGAAGCTGATCATGACAACTACTAACCACGACCAGCCAACATCCAGCTGGGAGTAAGCTTCCTAACAGCCCAGGAAGACAGAAAACACCGGGTTCCGGCCCGATAAAGCTAAGAGGAGGATTATCCAGTCCAAAATTTGCGACTGTGTTTTAAGCCAGCCATAAGAATCCCCCTCAGGCAACATTGGATCTACACCAACGTAAGGAATGTGAACATAAAAGTGGACCACAGTATGCCTTACTGCGACACAAACAAACATGTGGAGTACGATACAGGCAGCATTGCATTAATTGCATTCATTCCAAAATTCGTGTAGTCTGATACAAGGGTATCAGACTACACGACTACACGAAGGGTTCACGCCGAGCAGTTCCACAATGAGCTGCAGGTGTGCATCCCTGATAAGGAAGCGATTGTAATGAAACGCCTGGCGGTCATTGAGGCCTCTACCCCGCCAGGCTCATAGCCTATATGGAAACAACCACTAAGCTGAATAAAGATCAAATTCGCCATAAGCGTGATTAGCCTTTATACGCCAGGCTTCTGGCCAAAGTCAGAAACTCCTTAACTGGCTTCTTTGTGGGGAATCGATTTAGCAGCTCAGCCTCAACCCCCAAAGCCAGTACACAACGGCTACAGTGCGTGCAGTGCTGCCTGTAGAGGAGCGAGAGAAAGAACACCGGGACAACGACTCTCAACTGGACATCGAAGCTAATCCAAACATAATTGACTAGAATGTCACAGCAATCAAGTATTCATTACCGGCAGGTCGGGTATCTATTGCAATACTTTTGCTCTGCTCCATACCTGAATCTGAACAACAAGGTGATCAGTGTTATATGCACGTCAAATAATGACTTTTATGGGCAATTTTGTGATACTTCAAAATTATTGTTGGAGTTTTCATTACACTCCCTGATAATGTAGCTTCCTATCTATCCAGATGTTTTCGGAGTTTACTCACTGAAAACACACAAATAATCATTCTTCCTTCTTTAGATCATCATATTAGATTCCTTTAGTAAAAATTAGATAAAATATGACTATCAATACTCACTTTTCCAGATCTTTGATATTTCAACAATTCTGTCATTGTGAACATTCGCTCTTCAACTCTGATTTTTCTCCACTGTCTAACCAATTCTAAGACAGAATGTCGAATTACACCTGGCAGAATCAATTCATTCAGTGGTGGAGTAACCAGCACCTTATCTGGAAGTTGAGAGAACATTATGTAATCACTTTTGGTATTTGGTAACGTGATTTATTTTAATAATATATTATCCACTGAATCATTTCCTGTCATGAAAATGATGTAGGATACGTCAAAGTTTCATATTTATCAAAGGTAGGTGACTTAGATAGTAAAATATTACAGTAGTAACAATTTACAGCTGTATTTTGGAAAATAATAGGAATCATATTTTGTAGGTTTTTTATTATGCTTTCTCGAATGAAAATAAGCACAATTATCTATTGATGAATAAACAAGAGCTAAATTTCAGAATGTCATGAAAAAAAATGAGACCAATCAAACAACATATCAAAGTGGCAGATGAGGGAGGATTCATTCTTTGAAAAAGTACACGATATTCACGGAATTAGATGCAACAAATGCGAATTAACAAACAGAAGATAGCACGATGACCGCCGGTTAGCCGTATTTTGGGACATATAAGGATATCAGGATGTATATCCTGAAATTTGGCAAATATCGGTTTTTCAATATGCTTTATGGCGAATGAAAATAATGACGTTTTTTTCAACATTTTCGATGAAACCGGAAGTTGTTATCAACTTCCTCAGTTCAAAAGTAACATCCTGTATTTTTTCATATATTTTAGTACCTGGCATAATTCTAATGTGAGTTTATAAAATACACTAGATACCAAAAATGAACAGTTCTCAAGATATTCGATTGGTTATTAAAAAAAATGGGTATTCGGTTTTCGAGTGATTCCCACATAAAATTCAAGATTGATAGAACACATAAATGAACTTTTATTTATTAATCAACATACTTCATAAATCATATCGAAAAACTTATATTATTTCCCAAAATACACTTAACCGTCTCTAACCGCAACCAAAACCAAATAGGTTTATCTAATCACGTAATTACCACTTTACAATGTAAAGAACAATGACTTGTGAAATCAGTGTTGTTTCAAAATGTTTCTGTGGAGAGTCATATTTTTTTCGTACTTCACTACTTGTGAAATCGTGATGAGAAAAAAAAGGTTGCAGAATCTGACATGATATGAATCCATAATCTGGTTCATCCCATTTTTCAATGCGACGTTTCGTCCAATGAAATCCATCATCAATATCATTTGTTTATTACGAACCTGTATATTTTTGTATACATATTGGTAGTCATTGAAACCACAAATTCATTCACATATTACAATATATGTATTTCTTAACGTTTCTTTCAAAAAACACTACATCAAAATTCCATCATTTGTTTTTTTTCAATGAGAAATCAAATTTCTGCATATCGTTACAATCACACAGTTAATAGTATTGAATACACTACATTGAAAACGAAACAGTTGCGAGAGAATGTAACGAAATAATAAATCATAACGGAATGCCTCACGTTACATTTTTTGGGTTACCGTCTCACGCGATACCGCATTGAATGTTCAAATTATCTTCCATTATTTCTCAAACAAATACTCGCTCTAGAAATAGTGTGCTTGTGACAGTTCTTTAACATTTGTGGAATGATTGCCAATCCTTAATTTCGTAAATTATTTTCGAAATATCTATGATTATTTTGCCAACGTTTAGGATACAATTCCTGATACATTGCCAGAGATTTGGTAGCATTTCTCAAACATCTCGAATAAACCAAAAGCGTATCCACATTTTCGTCATTGGAAGAACTCATGCTATTCCCTTTAAATCGCTCACCAAATTGAATAAATATTTTATTTTGAGTTACAATCAACTTGACATTAACATTCACTTATCATATTTCTCCTGAATATCATCTAGGACTTTTTTGATACAGTTTTTTATTAGTTAATACTTGTTGATATACTCATTTTCTAAACAGAAATATTTGGGTAGTTACAAATTTTCAAAAGATATTTTGAAATTATGATTGGGTTGATATTGATACAAATATTATTGGTTTCTCTTTTTGAAGATAACCCTGAGAGAAATCTATTTGGATTTCAGTGAAAATAAATATTTAGGATCTCAATGAATGACATCACTGACCGAAGGACTCTGGATTTCAGCAAAATTCGGAAAAATAATAGAATATTGATGATGTGTTTTCAGGAAAAACGTCGAGAAATACATATGTTGCATACATATATCAATGAATTTTCAATTACAATAACTACCAAAATGCATAAAAAACATACAGATCCATATATAGAATGAATATATTAATGACGGATTTCAATGAACGAAACATCGCATTGAAAGATGGGTTGAACCAGATTATGAAAAACATGAAATGGAGCAAAAAAAATCCCTTGTCATTTTTTGATATTATTGAAAATGGAGGCGGTAGAGCAAAAACATAAAATCTGTCATTTTTTGTTTCTTGAAAATATCCAGAAACGATTGGTGATTGTATTCGTGAAAAGGCAAGTTTTGTTCCATTCAAACGTCCTTGTATGACACACCGTTTCCGAGATAGCAATATAGTGGTATCAGCTAAAAAACCGGCCTGTATACCGTAATTTATGATTGTTTTGTTTTGATTTACTAACCTTGGTTTTCATCTTCATATACCATGAAAATATTCATAGTTCCTACTTCTGTAACATAATGTTGTGGACCGTACAACCACAATACCTGTTGGTACCCTCGTTTATTAGCTTTACTTTGTATTCTGATTGTTGGACCATAATTAGATCCCAGTTTACTACTTCCACAACCACCTGGCCACGCTCGTGCATATCTTGGATCTGCAAGTAACGCTATGGATTCTTCTTGACCATCTGACCAATAAGTACCAACTGGACACAATATGGTATAAAGCAGAGCTGAATCACTTTGTTGGACACCCAACGTTCCCTGAAAATCAATTGAATTTCATTAATAATCTCAGATTCATGAGAGAATTGTAATATTTTATTGAAAATTGTAATATAATGAATATGTCAACTTCAGTTATGATCATGTATCTTCAAAAATTCTGTTCCTAGTCAATGATTCAACAAGAACTAATAATATACTGGATCAACTGACCTGGTAAACGATCATTTCGTATAAGTTAATGAAACAAAGATTTTCATTTTGAAAATGATGGATACCATCATAATGAAGTTTCCATAATATGTTTCTTTTAAAGCGATACTTCCGTTTCCGACGTTGTATGGATGTAAACAAATCTGAATAATTTTTTTTCAAACACCCCGTATTCAGTGGCGTAATTTGACGCAGGAGTAGATTCCCTTCAAAACTATATTAGGGTTTCATATACCTATCTCTTCTGCTTTTTACAGAAGAGACGTTTTTATATTCTACTTATGAGTTATTTTTTTATCTTTAAAATGAAACACGCTCTATTGTAATAAAAAGCCTAAAAAGCGTTTTAAACACCTTTTTATTGAAGAATACGTAGATTCGCTAAAAACACAAGTTTATTTTTTTTCAAATAAGGTGTATCTAAAGTAAAATGCAGGGAAATGTAAAAACTAAAATTAATTGCCATTTCTGGCATTCTTCAAAATAAAAAGATGCACGTGTCTTAATCATTGAGGCAAAATATGTTATATTCGCTTGTTTCTTAGCAAATATATTAGACTTCGTAGTGGAATAAATACCAAAATTACAATATGGGGTCAATAAAAACATACATCTACGATTGCCTATAAAACCTATTCTACTATTTTTTCAATAATAGTAGGCTCTGGCCTAGATGACGTTAATTATTATCATGAAACAAAAATTATTTGACAGTGACACAACTTGTTATTCAAACCATTATGATTGTTTTAACTAGTTTGAAATATTGTCATTTTGAAATATTGTAAAATGAGAACTCATCCCCAGGAAGAACGAATTGATATGATTTTGGTAATTTTTGTTTATGGGTTTTAGAAAAGTTTGGTGATGAAGAAAATATTTTTGAATACCTATGTGCTTTTTTCCGATGAGTCAACTTTTCATAACAACGGATTAGTTAACAGACATAACTTCCACTACTACAATGACGAAAACCCTAATATGTTTAGATAGTCCGGTCAAATTAAACTAAAAAATAAGAGTGAAGGTACATAAATTTACAACAAGCTGTCAAAAATCTCGAAAAAAAATTGGTTTTTCGCGATTTTCAGAGGAACGTCCTTCTTGTGGATTTTGGGTAGTCCATACAAGTGAGGGGGCTTACTGTGGTGCGGTGTTAGTGATGATCTTTCCTTGTCCGAAAAAAAGACTTGGTGTTTTTTTTAAAATCTGGTACAACTTTCTTTCGATTGATGCAGTAGGGTCCCGTAAGATCTTTGTGTATCGAAGAGGTTCTTCAGAGGTTCTTCAGCGGTTGATTCAACAATAACATCCATTATAGGTAGAATAATACGAATATAGAAACCAGTTTCCAGAAAAGGTCAGAAATACATGTTTGGTTGGGAATTTTGAGAGCAAACGTACTAGTTCCATTCTTTTACGACGAGAACTTGAATTGCGGAATATACCTACATTGTTTATGCCACTGAACATCTGCCTTGAAATACAATATTTTCAACAAGACCTTCCCGTTATAAAGCGATGGTTAGGGAACATTTAGGAGCTTGTGGAAACAAGACAAGAAAATGCTTCTCTCGTCTTGTCTCGACTAAGTCAAGAGAAAATCGTCTCTCGTCTTGACAACAATACCGTTTCTCTCGAGAGAAGGCATCTCTCGTCGTCTCGTTGTCCCGTTCTGTCTTGTCTTGTCTCGACTTCTCTGTACTTCTCTTGACAAGAAACGGCTTTGGTATTCCGAATCTCAGATACTAATTTTGATAGGTAGTATTTCAACCTCTAGTGTAAAATGAATCTATTGAGAACACTTTTTCCTCACCAGAACAAAAATACTGGCTAACGACGTGATTCGCTAAACAAGTTGTTAGCATCATCAGAAGGTGACTGAAATTGTCATCTGCTGATAGTGTTAATGAGAAACGTCGTCATGTATCATTATTTTTTTCCTGGTGTGGAAAAAATGTTTTCAATAGATATTTTAAACCTCAATGATCAGCATCATGTAGGTACTCGAGAGGGGTGCAAATAATATCGTTGCTGTCTCTACACCTGTAGGCAAAAACCAATTCGGTATATCTCTAAATATTCTATACTAATGTTGCATCAAATTGGTTCAATTAGCATTGATGTCGATTGTTTACTGATTGTGAATTACTCTGAATCACTTTATACCAGTATAGGTGGATAAAGGCATTATACCGTGTGCGTCACATCGAGTTTTTTTAGAAGTTTCAGAAAATGTTCACTATAAAAGTTTCAGATATCAAGGCATTGGACTTCTTTGAAATGTTATTCAAAACACAGGGCACCCAGTGAAAGCAAGGTGGATCAAAGTTATGTTGTTTCGAAAGGAATGATACTTATTGCTTTTCATATAGGTACGGATTAGGTTAGAAGATTACTTTCAGAAAATGAATGTATTCAAATGTATTTCACAAACGATTCAAAACATATTTGAAAAAAAAAACGAAAATAGTATTCATCTGTAGCCATTTTGAGTGGAGAACTCACTCAAAATGTTTATTTTGTTATGAAAATGATCCACCATCAAATAAAAATTCAACCTATTTGTTTGTAATACTCAATAAATCTAAACTTGAAAACTTTTTTTTTCATTTTTTCAAATGGACTATCTTATATTTCATTTTCCATTTGATTTTGCCATGATTTTTTTTAAACCGAAAATATGCAGAACTATGGAAAACTATATTATTCCATTGTTGTTTTCAAAGAAAACGTTATATTCGTTATTTTATAGATTTCACGGTGTATTATTATAGGATTTAACCAACTCAGCGATTTACTGTTTTGCAGAATTTCATTCTTAAGAAAGTGTTTCAATAATTTTAATTTATTATTATGACCTGTGAGAGATTTTACTTTATCCAGAATGAGTCTGCTGAACGATCTGTCATTATAAGATTTCTTTCTTTCATATTTCAAAGAAGATTGAATTATGTTCAGTCACTGAAGAAAAACTATTTTCCAAACATCTCTAAAACAAAAAAGACTATCAAACTGAGTTTTCATTAAAAATGTGTATGCTTGAATATATAAACATTTTGACGTTATTTCTGGCATAACATCTTGGTATATACCAACAAAACCCTACATGGAGAAGGGCGAAATTTCCTGCAGAACGGAAATGTACTCTTATGACACAATTTATTTCAATATTTCGAAAAAATGTATTATCATCTTCAAAGAAGAGCTACAAAATTTGTATGATGATGGTACAATATCAAATTATTACAAAGGGCTCAACTTGCTGTTAGTGAGGATGGCCGTGTCGAAAAGAAAGTTATTATTAAACAATTGAAATATGTTAATACAATAAAATGAGTCACTACATTGAAAGAAGTTGACCCCTCACTGATATAAGAAAGATTATTTGAATTCACTTATTAAAAATCGTTATTTGTTTTAAAATTATGGATTACCGGTAAAAGCTATGTGGTTGAAGAACAAAGAGAGAGAGACAACAAATAAATTGACACTGACAGCTGTCACGTGATTCGGTTTGAACAAACACTGCCGCTTCGGCTTCGCACGGGTGTAATGCTGATACTAAATAAAAATTCACCCACTGGAAATTTAAGGGCATTGAGAAAGAGTGATGGCAATATAATTATGTTTGATAGACGCCCTTTTATCCCCAGTGGGGGCGCCCAGTTGGAATATTAAAAAATCCTTCCTTATTGCATATCTACAATATGGAACGAACCTACAGACAAAATTTCAGCTTCCTAAAATATAGCGATAGGAGCGGAGAAACAGTGACGAAAAGTAACTGTATTTTATGAACGCCCCTTTTCCACGCAGATGTCGCCTCAGTTAGAAAATTTAAAAAAATCGTTATTGCACATCTACAACATGAAACGAACCTACATACAAAATGTCAGCCTCCGAAAATATAGCGGTACGGAGAAACAGTGATGAAAAGGTAATTTTCATATGTAAACGCGTCCCTTTTATCCCCACGGGAGGGGCAGTTGGAATGTCTGGAAATCCTTGCTTAGTGCGCATCTAAGACCTGAGAAGCACCTTTATCCAAATTTTGGTTTTCTAGGACTTACCAGTACGAAGAAACAAAGATGACTGACTGAGATACCTGTATAGTTATTAATATTTACAACAGCTGTCTATTCAAGCAACGGAGTGCTTCAACGGTAGACATCTGTTTCAGCCTGACTTATTGCATATCTACAATATGGAACAAACCTACAGACAGAATTTCAGCTTCCTAAAATATAGGGATAGGAGCGGAGAAACAGTGACGAAAAGTAACTGTATTTTATGAACGCCCCTTTTCCACGCAAATGTCGCCCCAGTTAGAAAATTTAAAAAAATCGTTATTGCACATCTACAACATAAAACGAACCTACATACAAAATGTCAGCCTCCGAAAATATAGCGGTACAGAGAAACAGTGATGAAAAGGTAATGTTCATATGTAAACGCGTCCCTTTTATCCCCACGGGAGGGGCAATTGGAATGTCTGGAAATCCTTGCTTAGTGCGCATCTAAGACCTGAGAAGCACCTATATCCAAATTTTGGTTTTCTAGGACTTACCAGTACGAAGAAATAAAGATGACTGAGTGAGATACCTGTATAGTTATTAATATTTACAACAGCTGTCTATTCAAGCAACGGAGTGCTTCAACGGTAGACATCTGTTTCAGCCTGTTGGGAATCGTCAGTACCAGGTAGTGGCCCTCGATTGAAGACAAAATGTGAATAACCAAAACCAGTACTTGATAAAAATAACATCATAAACGAGACATACGTGGAACCACCTATTGGTGTGACACCCAAGTCAACTTGCCACGTTTTTATGTCAGTGTTGGTGGTTTTACCAATCAACTGACAACTGCGATAGAAAAATTTTGGTAGCTATACTGGAATGCCATCGGAAAACGAATCCACATGTTTCTAGAACTGAGAATGGTTAATGCAGTCAAGCTGCTGGAAAATAATTTCACAAAAATCAAAACATAAATAGATTAGTACCATTCTGATCATTCCCATATTAATTTCAATTTGAATACGAAAAAATACGATCAACGGTGTGATAATATACATAATTTACTGAATGTGAACGTACTTACGTCAATTCCAATTAATGAAGGTCGAATGTATAAACTGGCTTGTTCACTATGTGGAACCCACTCCTGATCTATCTGAACCAACCTTATTAAACATTTTACTAGTTCTGAGCCACTAAAGGTTGGAAGTCCTATCATTTCTGCTGACCTATTCATGCGAATCATATTCAAATTTGGTCGAAACCATCTCAATTTTCCATCAACTCCTCTATATACTTTCGTGCCCTCAAATAGCTGAAATACAAAATAATTAAAAGTTCTCCATCATAATGAAAATGATTGCAATATTTCATGACAGTAATACTTTTTTCAGATCAGACTATACAAAGCCCAAAAGTAACAACTGAACTTCAAAACTATTTTGCAATAATCATCTTCAAGTTTTCATTCAGGGATCTCATATTCAACTGACGGCTCTCCAACTCTTGAGATCTGACAAAATCAACCTTGAAAATTTAAACAGCATAGGCAATAATACTATTGATAGATTTTTCATTCTGAATGCAATGCGAAAAAGTTTGTCAAAATCAATTGTTGAGTACCAGAGATTCACCAAAATGTAATTTACAAAAGAGAGCCAGTATTCGAACAGGACCAGAAATACGCGACAGACTGTGGCTGCTCATCGTTTTGAGGTTCAACTCATTACACCTCGAACTTCACTGTTTAAAAACTCTTTCATCTGGAGAACTGCGTTTATATGGAGAAAACCGATGACTGGGTTTTTGTGGCATTGAAGTGTACCTGCTACTTTCACTCCAAATCGAAACCACGTCTAGACCCTTATTAAGATGTGCAACCTCCTTCTGCAAGCAAGCAATATATTGGATTCTTGTTTTTTTAATAAGTCTTTGATATACAATAAAAAGAGGGTTGAAGACAATATGGAACCCCGAGAAAACACCAGCGTTGATGGTGAAAGTATTCGAGAGATATACATCGACAGTCACTGGCAGGGAACGTTCTTCCAGGAAGCTGAAGAGCTATACATAGCTATACATGATTCAACAAGCCATAGCATCGAAGTTTGGCAAGCAAACCCTCATGCCACACACGGTCAAAGGCCTCAGAAATATAAAGCGCAACAGCTTTGGGTTCTCCATGTTTCCCGATTGCGTTATTCCAAATATGAGTGACATACGATAGAAGGTAGCCTGTTGATTTTTGTTTCCGAATGTCACAAGATGTTGAAGCCTTTCAAATATTTTGAGGATATAGTGGTTTACGACTTTCTCTATGATTTTCTGATAGCTCACTCATATGATCACTGATAGCAAACCGAGTGGTCTATAGGTATTTGGAAGATTTTTCCTGCCCTTTTTGGGAATAGGTTGAACGCGAGCAATCTTCCAACAAGAAGGAAAATCCCCTTTCTTGAAAGACAGGTTGAAAAGTCTGCAACGATGCAACGCACTTCTTGAGAACGATGGCGGGCACTTCATCAGGGCCAGTATTGTTGATATTGAGCTCTTTCAAAATTTGTCTGACCAGACGCTGTCAGAAAGTAATTTTCGGAATTGTAGATTCTAGTGTAGGAATAGTGGGTGGTGCCTTTCCCAGAAAATCGACTGTAGAGTGGGACGCAAATTGTTCAGCTAGTAGATTGGCTTTTTCTATGGCTGTGGTTGCAATTAAACCATCCGCTTGTGTTAGTGGTGGAATTGTGGATTTTGTTAAGTTCTGAATAACAGCTTCAGCTACTGGCCAGAAGGATCAAGACCCGTTGGAATTGGCAAGCAGTTTATCCCTAATTTTCTAATTGTGAAGTTCTTTGCTTTCATTTATCCTTAGTTTGCAGCTTTGCAGTCCAGTTTTTGGCTCTGGGATTTTTGCGCCACTGGCGATAAGTGACATTTTTGGAGGCGACAGCTTGCTCACAATTTTTGTTGAACCAAGGTTCGCCGTTAGAAGGACGTTTCATTGGAAGAGGAAAATATGCATCCATGGACGGTACACCTTCCGTGACTTCAGAAGCACAAGTTGATGGATATTTAGAGCTGCAACAAACATCTTGCCAGGGAAAATTTTGGAAATGGTCTTCAAAATCCGCCCATTCAGCTGATCTTGTAATGCCAAACTTTGTGCGACTTAGATTTTTCCCAAACATTCATCCCATGGAATAATTACTCTGTTGAGATATCTGTCCTAGTGGATTCTCCGTATTTTTTCGGCATTACCATTTGCTGATCCATAAATGAAGTGCATGATACTCATTTCGGCGTTAGTAAAATTATTTATAATAGAATCACAGTCCGCTGGTGTCCTAAGTAGGTGTTTATGATATGCAAAGTGGCTTCAATGTTTTTTTTTTTGAAAAGGAAGCTAGATATGAATAAAACACAAGTGTTGTAATTTCAGTTGAATAATCTGAAAAAATAAAAAAATACAAGTCGTGGCGTACTTTTTTCCCAATTTTGATTAACGGAAAAACAGATTTTGAAACAGACAGATCGTAAGAAATATTTCAGAACATAAAGAAGAAGAAGATCTAATAATGGGTTGTAAATGCCATTTCTGAGCCTTGTCGGAAGTAGTGTGAATAGTGGTTCTGGTTAACTGAGCTCCAACGATTCTTCCGAAATTATCCCAAGGTCGGAATATTCTCAGAAAAGTGCTGTGTGACAAGGGTATGCCATGAGGACAGAGTCGAATCTCAAAGTCGAATTACATGAGGAAAGGCAAACTTCACGTTCTAGGTCATATTGTATGCTACTAGCTGAAGGTCCTGGAACGTCCTTCAAGGTCAAACCTCATTGGTATGTGAGATATTAGAAAAGAAGATGATTGAAATATAAAAATATCCAAACCACAAAAGAACACAACAACAATAAATGATAGAAAGTATTCAGTACAGCAAAAATGAAATTACAGTTCAATAAACAATTTGTTTCAGAATATATAGGTAGAATCATGTTTTGCAGGTAGACAAATACATCACACACAGATGCATCATGGCAAATCAAACAATAAGAGGTTACAAACAGATTTGTCCGAAACAGCTTCATCAATTGATTCGAAGTTGACCAGTTGAGAAGACACTTCTTTCTCTTGAAGATGATCATTTGGTGATTGAAACACGTGTCGAGGTGTTAAAAATAACGGTTTGGTGTAGTGATAATATTCATTACTACACCAAAGGTTCCAAACATGTTTGGCCACACCTATGTCCGACTAATTAACATGGGGTATATTACATTCTACCCAATAGTAATAACAAGTGATTACTGCGGTGAGTGACGTTATAGCATAACGTTGTAATGTCCTTTGTGATACAGCAAAATCAGTTTTTTGATGAAATTATTTGAAGAGCCGACATAAATGATATAAAGACCCTTTGTTTTCTATTACTAGATCACAATTTTGTTGTTGAATAGGATGGCGACCATTGAGTATTATTTCGAATGTCAAGTTGGCCGGAATTCGGTCGAAATGTTGGAGAAACATTTTTGACGTTTCTAAACTTCATTGTTTCATCTTCAGGACTCTGAAGTATAAAAAAGTCATACATAATAAAGTGGGATTCCAGAATATAGTTTTGTTTGCCAGGGGAAAGGAGGTTAAAAAAATATAGTTTTGTTAAAAACCAAATAAATTATGTAAAATAACAATCGTTAAAACATAAAATGCTTCGAACACTTCACAGAAAACAACGTTGATGAGTATTTATATTTAGGGCGGCTTTCCGAGTTCAAAAACAGCGAAGTAAATAAATTCTACATAAAATATAAATACATACACAGGTTCACGAAAAACGTTGACACAGACACACAAACTGTCAGTAAATCGTTTCTTTAAACTGCAAAAAGAGCCTTTGAAAGAAATGAGAATTGTAATTGGAAAAAGTCGTCTGTTAATGACTCAGAATTATCGTTTGATTTTCCTATTAGATCGAAAATGAGGTGTGTAAATTTCCAATATCCGACCTTTTGTTAAGACATGTTGTTCCATGCTTTGTTATTTCAATCATTTCATTCAAGAGTCTTCAGATAGATAGATAAAAAATTAGTATATTCCAACAGATCAAATGAACGAAAAAAAAGAGCACCGTTGAACATTGAATATTTCAAATTACTGCATGTAGCAGGTCTGACACCCCAACTATGCAAGGTTCTAGAAAATGAAAATTTCAAAATCAGTATGAAGTGTGAAAACACAGTTAAAAATCATTTTCTTACGAGAAATAAAACAAAAACAACAAAGGACCTAAAATAGTTGTTCGCTCCAACTTAGAAAGAGGAATGAAATACTCTGAAAGAATTCCGATTTTCAATTATGGAATATCATTGACTTAAGGTCGATAATAGCCATTATCTTGCACTGATGAGTTGCTAAAGAGACCGAAACCGGTCTGCAAGTGTGCCTGTTCCAAAATTGAAGGTAGACTCTTTCAGTTGTATTGATAATTGCATATGCACGAAATTTTCTGTGAAGATTCCTGCACTGACGCCTGTTGGATATAATCCAATTAGCCAGAGGATTAGTTGTATTCTGATAGGCGTCAGTCCATTCAACCTACTGTGTAGATATATTCGAGACTGGCTTGAACGTTTGAAGTTCATTTCTTTCGATTTACTATTTCAGAGCCTTCAAGTATAACTGGAGTTCATGATAGATAATCCCAGATTTCAACAGATTATTACGATTATCATCTCACTTCCCCACCCAACCACATCCAACGTCCGCCATCTTTCAACGACATTCACGTCATTTATCACCCATTGCATCCTGTCTTAATTATCTCAATGTTAAGTACCATTACGATAGTTTTTCGAGACAATTCGAATTCAGCTAGTTGAACAGTGAAGATAGGTTGTATTAAATTCTTGCGCATATCGCGGTTATTGGATTACCAGTTTGAATAAAATCGTTTTATTATATGTTATGTTTGATGAAAATCATTTTATAATCTCTGTTGAGAATGTAATCATTAAACTCGTCCACTCAGAATGAACATTGAGAAAATGTGGAAAAACATTGGTTTTCCCAAGATATTTCAGCTTAGTTTTGAAAATTAAGATATGAAATGTCGTTTCCTAAGCGATAGAAAAATCTTTTGCACGATTGGAGCCTTCGCCAAATTTTTAAATAGGGAAAAAGTCGATTTTATGGAAAATGGCTTTTTCAGTTATCTAGACAGGAAAATCGTGCTTTCTTCAAAGAAGTATCGATAGAGATTCTTAGTAGCTATCGTTTGATATCTCGATCACGTTTCTAGTGCTCGTGGTTCAATTTTTATTAGCATTTGAGTTTTAAAAAATATTACATTTTTAAAACGCATTTTTCTGCAAGAAGGAATGGGAATATCGAGACGCGGCATAAGACTTTTTGTCTTAGGATGCTGAGTTCTATATGAAATCGAGGAAAACGAAAATTTAGAATTTTCGCGATTTTCCGAAGATTTCCGAGTAAGGCCAAAGACTGTTAGATTTCATTTATCGAACGCAAATTGAGGAAGCGAAACGACACATGGAAAGAATGAGATAGAAACAGCGGCATATAGACGTGAATGGATAGTAGCAAGCGGTATTCCTACTTCAAAGCCCAGCGCCTGAAGAAAAACAGGTCGTAAACGCTGGCAAATCCATACGAAATGAGTTTTTTTCGTTGTGTAAATATTGAATCTAGGTCAGGCAGGATCGCACGGCTTTTGCGATCGCCGATTGCCCGAAAATGGCGCGGAAGAGAGCCCGTTTATTTAACATAAATATACGGATTTCCAAGCCACGATAGTTAGTCGAAGTTTGAACATCGAGCGAGTAGCAGTCATCTTAAAAATCCGAAGATTTTTCGAAAGTTTGAAGCTGCGGTTTGGTTTAATCAAATGAATTCGAGTCTCTGGTTCTTTTCAGAACTTAATAGAGACAAAGCACAGCACAGGAGTTTTCAGGGATCTGCGGTTATCATTAATCAGTGGAATTGGAGGAATTTTTATTGGAATCAGGAATCTTTAGGACCAATTGAGATTAAATCAAAGCAGATTAGTAGCTGGACATTAATTCGTGAAATTATAGGATTGTGGAAACTCTAGGATTCAACAGAGCTTATACTGGAGCAGATTACTGGTTGGATAACTTATTGAAGTGCCTAATCATACCTTACGTTTGTCCAGGTTCCTTTTGGCACCCCGCCGAAGGAAAGCAGCCCAAATCCTGTAAAGGAAGAGCAGGTTCCTTTCTAAAGTTGCTCGGTCTCACTCCACCCGATCACCTTGCGGTATTAAACGATCGAGGTGTTTCGAGATTGAACTCGGGAGGGTCAAGACATCATTAGTTACGTCCTTCTGGCGAACGACTCAACCTAACCGTTAGGGCCCTCCAAGATTTCGATACCTTATCCTGCGAGCGGCCCTCATCCTAGGGTGCTGTTCAACCGTTAGGCTTCTTGTTCCTAAATCACTAGCTCAGTTCACCCTGTAAGCCTTGGATAGGAAAGCAGCTTTCACGATCCAAGAGTGAACTTAAAAATATTAGATTTCCGTGAATCCTTCCCTCTGACTATTTCCTCGTCAGAGTCATTTTAGGGAAACTTTGAACTCGAAATGCAGACTAGGGCAAGACAAGCGCGAGCGCAGCTTGCAGAAAATACACCAGTGTCAAATCGCGAGACCAATCAATCAAGTTCCTTCTCAGACACGCTTAGCCGCCTGAGGGCGACTTCTACAAGCAGACGCGGAACCCCCCAGGACTCTTTTCACAGGAAACAGTATTCCAAGAACTCCGGTAGAGTTGGCCAGTCTGAGGGCATCTCCTACTCAACGTAGACCTTTTGCGCACGAGGACACCAGTGCCTCTCCCGTGATCGCAGAGCGACAAACCTTGGGCATTGGTGGTTTTTTAGCAAGTCGAGTAGTTAGAGAACTCGACATGACACAAAGGACAGAGTCCTCAAATTGCGAAATAACTCCGCGAAATAGTGAAGTTGTATTAAATCGCTTTAGGAATTTAAATACACCGAATACGTTGCGAATGGACCAGGAAACATTTGCAAGAGAACGTCAGGAGACGTTACTCCGAGAAAATGGACATCGTCTCCGAGGAGAGGTGTTGTCCAGGACCAGAAGCACGCACCAGGCCAATCTTCGCCAATTACTCGACATGCGAGCTGAATTGACAATGCCAAGAATGGTCTCCACTAGAAAACATGCACAGAGCGAACCCCAATTAGGGCTTCGCGAGATGTTAAATATGAAAACACGATCTCATATGCTGAGATCGGCTCCGACAACGAGCCAACAGCGTTTTTCATCAAAACCGGAACAACCCGAACAATTTAAAAGTTTTAACCGGCGGCGACAAACGGAGGGTTGTCTGCCTCTAGACTTGAGAGTTTTCCCCGAACGAAATGTTTTGAGTGAAAACATTGAGGCGGTGATACCTACTTATGTAGTAGAGTCACCAAGGGTAACGTTTCACGGGGTGTACAGCCATCCTGTGACAACAGTAATCAGCGAAATGTCGAAACCATTGTCAAACCCGACAAGAGAATCATGCTATCATGTATAGGACTTTCGAAACAGCGAATGTTTCGAAAGAAGAACCACCGGACACGACTTTCGAAGTAAGGAAAGTTTCGAGAGGCGCGGTGAAGGACAGCGTTCCCAAAGCAAAGAAGGCTTTGGAGATGCTGGCAATAGGGAATCAAGCAACGAAGCACAGGTCGTCCGACACCAGGCGTCGCGATGCCCCCAGGGGGGAACACTTAGTGATCCCTGACAGGAGAAGGGGTCGTCGCGCATAGGAGCGCCTCGTCCCCGGTTCGAGCCGGATACTGACGACCTAGCAGAAGCGCTAGGGGGTGGTGGAATGCCAGGGGATCACCCTGAAGTCGAGAGAGGCTTGAAGGTGGTTCCATGGCGGGATCAGTACCTAAACGCATCCCGATTCCCAGAATACGAGCAAACCGAAGCATACCAACCTCCCGTTGCACCCAGGCAAGAGCTGAGTCCTGAAATCCGAAGGGCTCAAGTCTGGGAGGCCAGCCGGCCGTTGCGACGAAGGGTAAATGCGGTCGACGGGGGCGGAGTCGTAGGACACGCCCCCCAACGGAACCCTATTACCCCTCCGGAGGACAACCGGCTGTGCAACTATACTTCCAATCACCTTCCAACAACAGTAATATCCCTGACAGTTCATTTGAAGAAGTTATCAATCCTGGTGTTTCCTCTGAGATAACTGGAAAATCAAGGCTAATTATCGCATAGCGTTACAAAAATTTCCTCAACAATGAGAAAATCCTCAAGGGATTCAGATATTTCTTGAATTTATTTTAGAACTCTCCCAAAATTTTTTCAGAACTTCTATAAAAATGAAAATCCTGAAAATTTTCTCCGAACCCTTTACTTCTCCGCCAACCACAAGCTTGTGCCATAGTTTTTCCACCATGAGGACTCGATTCTGGACTTAGTTCAGGGTTTTTAACATGGCACGGACCCTCGCCACACCAGTGAACTTGTAAAAACCCGTGAAGGCACGGTTCGTCATACCTACTTTTCAGCATCACTTTCCACCCGCCATCACTTGCCACCCGCCAACCACGACCTTCTCATTTATCATTCTTACTGTCAATCATATCGACGTAACGTAAGCGAGCATGAAGTAACGTCCACACAAGTCCCAGTCAACAAGAAGGGAGGCCCAAATGAGGGATCACCTAGTCAGGTTTAGTAATTTCAATTTTAATATTATCGTATCAGCCAAAAATACTTCAGCAAGCAGATCTCGTTGAGCAAACTTCACTCAGTGAGCAGAAAAGGAGAGTTCAGAAAAAATCAAACCATAATCAGGTTAACCCTTCATCAGTTTGATGTGGCCAAGCGCAGAGTTGGCTACATCCTGGTTACAGGCTGAAAACATATTCTTTCCGATTCCCTTACATTCAGTTCGAATATGTCAACTGAGGTTACTCAATGAGGGTTTTGCAATTTGAAATCTAGTTTTCCTGTAATATTTCTCCGTCCGCTCTTTCATTCAATCGATTCGATACTTTTGTTTTCAACTGTAGGATGTCTGATGTAAAATTTAACGTAAAATACGAAATTTATTGAGTCGTCAAATTTCGCAATGCAGAAGTGGTTATGAAATTTTGATAAAAAATAGATTATAAATTGTACTAACTACGGGTAATTGTGAAAATGATGAATTTATGTGTAAAGTTAATTGGGATGATTCCGTACCTGTATTGCATAATGAAGAACTCTAGCTGCTGGATGAATGCTCAAATTTTGGAATGGCACAATAACAGGTTTTTGCCAACCTCCTAGTTGTTTATGGTAAAATATCTTCAGCATATGGTCACTGAAGAATTTTCCAAACTTCAAATCACACACTTCTGGTTTAGTTCGTAATTTTGCTGGATCTGCCAATTTGGTCGTTAAATCTTCATACTGAAACATCAAAAAAGTATTTCAAGAATAAAAAGAAGAAATACCCACAGATCAAGAAAAACTAAGACATATCTTCACTGACTTCTCTTATGATTATAGGTGTATTGAGAAAAAGAAGTTTCATTATTAGACACGCCCGAAGAATCTTTCTACTGAGAGGAAGAGAGGGTGAGAGAGAGAGAATATACTTCTTTATTGTTATAACAGTAAGTAATCTTTCACACACAGTTTTATTCAATCTATATTTCTAGTGTAAAATGAATCTATTA